TTTTTCCTGTAGCTGGTGGTGAGAAGAAGCCCAGCGAAGCATTACATCAACCACATTTACTGCATAATCAGTTTATGTTTATGTAATTGTTGTTGTAAAGCCATAAATGTACACAGACGGTATTTTTGCTACAGGTATTTGAAACAATTTTGGTCAAATACAAAAACTGTTAATGTGTATTTGTTTTGACAACACATGTTGTAAAAATAAATCCGTGCATACATTCATCACTCATCACAAAATTGAGGCAACGTTTGGAAATATGAGCTATAAAAATATGTAATCCTACCAATCCAGTAAAATTATGTGATGAGCAGGATATGGGTCTGGCCACGTACTAAAACAACCCCACAAATGTGTCAATCCAAAACTGAGATTAACATGATATTAGAAAAGAGTTATATATTGATGCATTCATGTCATTTGGATTAAGCACCATTGCTTGTTGCGTATGGACTTTTGATATCACTTTAAATTTGACTCTTTATTGCATTCAAATTGAATCTTCAGATTTCAACATCTTTTTAGAAAATCAGCAGCATGTTATAATACCAGATGAATAGTTGTGGATTAACTGTACTTTGTACATATATGTTCCTAAGCTTGTTTCTGTGTACACACTGTGGTTGTTACAACTTAGTTTGGCACCAAATACAGTAAATATGAAGTATAATCAAACTTTCACAGTGTTTTGTGAAAGCTAGCCGTTTATCGTTGACCTTCATGTATATGCAGCACTGTTTATAAGCCAATTATATTGTTGAATTTAGAAGAAAAAATGTACATGCAAATAAAAGCAGTGCTATGTTTCTGCAGGTCTACAGCTTGCACAAGCAGGAGGTCAAATGTTGGGTTATTAAACTAAAGCAGATCTCTGTTTATTCAGCAGCGTACCACCCTGGCATCAGCACTCCCACTGACCAACGACATGTACGTGTCTTCTCTTCTCATATTACATGTAGTTTTTAGTTGATATAAGATGATCTTTTTAAATTTTATGTGAATGTGTAATTTCCCTTTTTGGTTAATAAAAAAAAAAAA